TACAAATATAATATTACTAGGATGTTGATAAGGTTCCAAGGAATGAAGTGTCAGAAAATAATCTAAATGGAAGTGAATTTGACATACGCAAAAAAGGAAGGATTAATGGAAAGTCGAATGTTCGCTAGACTGAATTCATGCATATAATCATGCAAAGTATTCCAAATATGAAGTATAATTTTAGTGAGAGGAAATTGTGATGTAGAAAGGACTCCTGATCTCTAACATATGTTCTACTAGTTTGAGTAATATTGAAGAAGGTTCAGGAATCTATAATTGGACTGTCTAGACTTGAAAGCAGGGGTGGGATTCTCCCGGTTTGGACTGGTTTGGGCAAACCTCTAGCTGACAGTGAACCGGTTCGCTCCGACATCATGTGGGCCCACCTGCCCGCCTCTGCGCTGTACTTACATATATCCTCTCGGCTGATTCGCGCAGCAGAGGGGATTGTCACTCCTCAGCTGTGTTACTCCCCAGAAGTAACATAGCAGGTGAGTTTTTTTGGAAACCTCTTCACACGCGCGAAGTGTGCAATCACTAAACCAGTTGTTACACCAGCAGCAGCCTACCACCGCTTGAAAGTCTTGTGGGTTTTTTTAAAACAAGGACCATCTATAATGCCTTTTTCAAATGAGGCTACCTGAGTTGGCTCAGTCCAAATATTTAGATTAGTTCTGGTTTCAGAACAGACTTTTGATACCTAATATTGCTTACTGCAAGTGGTGCTGTCTGTATCGATGCTTTGCTTTTATGTCTAATTTAAATAACAGATTTTGATTATGCAATTTAATAATTTGCAAACATTTGTTAATAGGTGGTTTGTAGCCTGCTATTTTGTCAAGGTAGACTGAAATGAACATGAAATATAATAATAAATATAGTTTCTCTGTTTAATGTATCCTGCCCTTTGCTAATACTTGCTTTAAGATTCATTCCTTTTCTTATATACCTCCTTCCTAACATATTTTGTTTGTTTTACATTGTTTTATGTATGTATGGCTACTGTTTTGTTAAAGAAATATGACTGCTGACTTCCTAATTCCTTTTTCCAATGATAGATAACATTATTTCCTTCCTTCCTCCTTCCCTTTCTCTCTCCCTGTGTTACAATTATTTCACTTTCCCCAATGGTAAACTAAATCCAGAGGTTTTAGGTAAAATATGTATGGTCTACAAATGCCACTCCCTGTAAAGAATACAAGTCACTTATGATGTAATTCTTGCATCATGACAAAGATCTGGAATGTCTAGGGATGTTTTTCTTAAGTCACATGGATGTCCAAATGGCAGATGTATACATTCCAGTCATCCTTAATATATGAAGATGAAGGAGATCCTTTCCTTGGCTCACAGTAAGACAGGAAATATCTATCTAGGATTCCTGTGAAGGATACCGTAAAGGATTTTGCCAAGAGTGGTCTGCTTGCTGCTGGCAGTTTCTGTTGCTGTGTGAACAAGCAACTTCTCTTTTAGGGAGATGCAAAAGCATGACAAAGTTGGCATTGCACCAAGCTATAATGTGGAATTAAACAGGTATGTTAACTGTTGGTGTTGAGTAAAGATTGCAGGTGATATAATTGGACTGCTGATACCAAATGCTGCCATCAATGTATTGGCATTTTTCTTTGATATCAATGGTAAATACACCAAATTATTTTTGCAGATGAGAGGACAAAGAAATTGGAAGCAAAGAAATGACAGTATAAAGAATTCTGTCTATGTCAGCCTCTTCCAACCTAATGTCCTTTTGCGTCTAGTTTTCATAATGTTCAATACTGTGGGAAAAATTTGGGAACTGTAATGGAAATTCTTCTGTAACCTGCCAGACGCATAGGCCTTCATGGAGTTTCGTTCACAATTGGCTAGGGCCAATTGTGATGAAATCTCTGAGGCATATATCTCTAGCTTCTTTGAAATGAATCTAATGGAATACATGTGCTCTACTACTACTAAGTTCTGCTAAAGTTGAATTGGATTGTATATTTATTTGGAATTTTTGGTGGTTTTGCAACCAGGCACTAACTTAGATTTAACAATTCTACCATACCATTGCTCAGTTTTCCTCTTAGATTAATCTTAAGGCTTATGTGATGGAAATATAAGAACTAATTCTGAAAAAAATAATTTGGAGAAGTATGTTGTAAAGAGATTTGGTAGTCAAATGAAGACTAGGAATATATCCGTTATCCTTTCTTAGACTGCTTTAGAGCAAAAGATCTGGGTATCAAACGATCAACATTAACCTTTAAGAGAATTGTTTTAAAAAGTATCAAACTAATTTCCACTAGCCTGTGGCATTTCCTAACCAAATTAATAAAGCTGAAGCTTAAGAATTCACCAATATTTTTTGGGAATGCTACATCTGTATATTTTGAGCCTAGATGCCTCTGTTTGAAATATTCAATTCTCATTGAATTTCTTCCTTAATTTTATTTGCAATGTTTTCCTTAGGTTATTTGCCTCTTTTTTTAAAAAAAAACCTTCCTCCTTTAGCAACAGACTTTCACCTACCCGCCTGCTCATTGTCTTGCTTCCTTCTTTTCCACTTTTGGCATATCCAATCAGCAACATACTGAAACATGATGTTTCCTCATTTTAGAGATAGTGACTGGAGTGGATTGTGTTACAATACAAATGGGAGTATTTATATTTGTCATCCCCAACACAGAGTTTGAATCGCTTTTCTCTCTAGAAGCTTTTCATAAAGTTGACGTCATAAACACATGATTAACCATTGTTACCGTTAATGCCGGTTTAGTACTCAGAATGAACTATTTGGCAAGGATATTTTGCTGTCTTGAAAATGGAAGGTGAGCAGGCTTTTTCTGCCTGACGGCTGCTGGGTATAGAGTTAGTGATGTCATAATGTCACTGAAGTGGGTGGGACCAAATATCCCAGGTTTGCAAATATGGGAGATAAAAGGGTTTATGCAGAGAGGCTTAAGATAGTCCTTGACTCCCTGATTCCTTCCAAATAAGAAAAAAAAAATTATCCAATTCTGGTGCTTGGGAGTTCTTAAGAGGCAAATGGGAGCCTTAAGCCATGACATGTGTATTTTATAGTTTCTTTTCCCCATATATCTAATAAAGGAATAGTGTAGGGCTGTACCATGATAAATCAGCTCTCCTTACAGCCCTGAGTGAGGCCATCAAGTTGGTTGCAGAAAAATGCATATGTTGATATACTGTTGACCGTATGTCTGAATGTTGTGACACATCAAAAATGTGGTGCGGTGGTGGCTTTTTTAGAACACTTTCTAGACAGGGTGTTTGTTATGTTTCAAAACCAGTCATTGTATTATCAGGAAAGAAGCTCATATGATTCACATTTATCAAGTAGTTATGCCAATGAGAGGATGAAACATGGGTTGTGAAAAAATACTTCATAGCAGCAGCACATTTGATGGATTCATTGCAGCTACCATTCAGATGGCTTTTTCCCAGTGTGCCATCACAGTCCTTCTTCCTGTGTTGTAATGTTTAATAGAGACTGTTGCATCGTATTTGTTTTTACTATAGTATGAGGTGTTTTAAAATGAGGTCTTCTCAAGTATTTCAAGTAATGCTATTTGCATACATATTGGAACCAGAAAAATCTTAGTTTATATTATATTTAATCGAAAAGTGTTCCTTCATTTGGGACAATCTTGAGGGTAATGGTATCTTTGTAGTGCATAAAACTTAGAATCCTTTAGAAATGGACCAGTATATAAGTTTAAATGAAGTAGTACATAAATGTGTGTTTAACTGGAAAAAAAAATTGCTGAGTGGTGCTGTAGTAAAACAAGATGACTTCTTACCATAAGGATGATACTATCATCTGGGCTTCCCTGAACAAATCATTTTTATCACAGTTGGCCGTTATAGTAATAATGAAACCTAAATAACATGTCCTGAGTTATTTTGCCATCTATTTCCTGCCCATGTCTTTTTCCTTCTATGATGTCTCTTTTGTATTTCCATGGTTATACAAGCTATTTTTGGAACCCTTAGTTGAGGTATAAATGCTCTAAATAAATACTTTAAATTTAATACATTAAATAAAGTTATCTCACTGAGAAGAGTTTACTAAATTTAGTTTGATGGCACTATTTACTTAATTAAAGGCTTTGTAACTTGGAACGTGCAAAATGTTTACAACCATTTCAAGATGCTTTTGTGAAACATCACATTTCAAACATGAAGGCTCCTTTTGTTTGAAAAGTATTAATTTTGCGCTCAAAATGGGATGTCACAAAATTTCACACTTCAAATAGGTCAAAATGAAATGCTTCACGTATTCCTAATTTTAATTCTTGCATTTTGCTCTTGTTTTTTTAAAGAACTTTGAAATGAAAGTAGTTTTATGTTATAATGAAAATAGCTGCACAGAATTTTATCACCCAAAACACATGTACCTTATCAAACTGTTTATAATTTACAAAGTTTTGGATTTCAAACAAGTAAACTACAACAGGAACCCTAAAGAATTTCCTTTTTCAGACTGTATTTAAGCTTTTTTGGCTTTCATTAAAAGTTATGTGTGTATATGTTCAAAATTTTTATATTTTTTTATAAATTTCTATAAAATCTGTTTATAAAAATTTTGAACATATACACACATCTGCTTTCTTCACAACTATTCTTCTTGCCTTCTTTTACAGTTTTGAGACCTTAAATAAGGTTTCCTGGTTTTTGAACATATGCTGCACTAAAACCTGGGCAGCAATTCTATAAAGATCTCTGAATTAACATTAAGGTCTGAACTGAGAGATAGATGGGGAAAAAAAGCAGAAGGTTTTCTCAGAAAGTCTACTTAAAATAAAATAGAAAATTCCATTCACTTCTATAGAGTTTTAAGGGAAATGTACTATGTCCATTTTAATTTGTGCATAAAACGTAATAAAAGCTTTCTAATCATCTGTTATTTGTTCATTGCCATAAATGATTTGTACTTACAAAAACATTAATTTGATTTTCTCCTCTTGTTCCTCCTGTTAATATTCTCTCCTGTTTCGTAGCAATGCAAGGCTGGAATGTACTACCCCATTAGATGCCACAGGGGATATGGGCAGCCATGATGTTCTGGAAAAAGAGGGACATGAAAACCTGAGCCATGACTTCATCAACGGTACGACCAGTGGTAATGTGGAGGCTGCACGGAGGCTGGCAAAGCGCCTCTATCATCTGGATAGATTCAAACGATCTGATGTGGCAAAGCATTTGGGGAAAAAGTACGTACCAATTTTCTGCCTTTAATAGTTAGAATGTTATGAATACATCTGAGTTTCATTTTCCAACGTGCCTACCATCTCTGTCCTATTGTTTTTTTTTAATTGATATCCATTTCATGTATTCATAACCATGCTTATACCTGTTATCTTATAATCGCTTGACATAATAAATAAATAAAATAAATAAATACACTGATCTATCTTTTTCTTTTTCTGTTGAAGCAACGAGTTTAGTAAGCTTGTAGCTGAAGAATACCTCAAGTTCTTTGATTTCACGGACATGTCTTTGGATTACTCTCTCAGGTAAGAAGCCATCTTCCCCATGTATTTTCATGTATCATTTCTCAGCTAAAGAAAATGTTATACCTAAGTTATGTGTGTTTAGATGCTGTACCATGGGTAAAGCAGTGCTAAACTTGTGCCACCTTCCTCTTCATTTGCATACATTTAACCAGAATGTAATTACATCCATTTTAAGTCTTTTAAATATTTAAGAGAATATTTATTTATTCATTTATTTATTCATACACATATATAAACACTCAAGACATACAGTGTGTGTGTATGCATATGCATATAGATATGTATGTGTACGTATATGTGTATATGTATGTATAAGGTAAAGGTTCCCTTCGCTCATACGTGCTAGTCGTTTCCAGCTCTAGGGGCGGTGCACATCTCCATTACAAAACCGAAGAGACAGCGCTGTCCGAACGTCTCCATGGTCATGTGGACAGCATATCTAAATGCCTAAGGCACATGGAACACTGTTACCTTCCCACCAAAGTGGTCCTTGTTTTTCTACTTGTATTTTTACATGCTTTCGAACTGCTAGGCTGGCAGAAGCTGGGACAAGTAATGGGAGCTCACTCTGTTACGTAGAGCTAGGGATTCAAACCACCGAACTGCCGACCTTTCTGATCAACAAGCTCAGCGTCTTAGCCACTGAGTCTCCACGTCCCTCTAATGTATATGCATATATGTGTGTGTGTGTGTGTGTATACATGTATACATACATAACGCATATATACATCATACCTATACCTTTCCCAAAAAAATAGTTTTGTTTATTTATATCAGTGTTTCCTACCCATGGCAACTTTAAGTTGTGTTAGCTTCAACTTTCAGAATTCCCAAGCAATTCTGGGAGTTGACCTCCACATATCTTAAAGTTGCCAATGTTGGGGTTTATTCATTTATCATATATGTACTATATAGCCACCTAGCTGAATATATGGCTCTGGGTGTCTTTCAAACAGTTGAAAACAGCAAAACATTACAACAATTTAAAACAATAAAAAGTATATAAAACTATAAAAACCATAAAATTCATAGCTATTGTGAGAAGTGTTTGGAATCATTTCTGGTAAAAACTCAATGTATTGAGCTAATTCAGATTTCTACGTAAAGTACTAGTTTTATTGCCTAACTTCAGCAATAATTATCCATCTGATAGTCTTGTGCACTGAACTGTATTTTGGGGGGCATCAGAGGAAATTGTTCCTATGAAGGATTCTATGGATAATTCAATGCGTGTATCCCATTAAAAGCCTGCAATCAAGCTGTCTGTGATTTTTTTTAGTATTACTTTGATTCAAAATGCATTCTAAACTAATAAAGAAATCTGCTTCTTCTTCTTTTCCATCCATTTTCTGAATTATTTATTTTAACTGCTAGCAACTGTCCAGGCAGAAGTATTTCTCATCTCCTGTTACTAGATCATTCCCACTGGAGATTCCAAAAATTATAGGAGAGACCTTCTATATACAATGCACCTGTTTTACTACAAAGCAATATTTTCTCCAGTTACATCCAGATAGAAATGAATGTGGCCCGGGCCTTGGAAAACAGCCGTCAGAGTTGAATTGGAGTAGGATTTGTGTCGGATGTGGTCCTGCCTCTGCATGTGCCTGCTTTAAAAATAGCCAAAAATTAGGATGGACCTTCTGTGTAACTTGTTTGCATTTTTTTTTGTCAGGGTTGGAAATATACAGCACAGCTTCATCAAAAGAAATGTTGTTTATTTATTTTAAATGTTTTTGTTAAAAAGTTGATTGTGTAGTTGTATGAGGTAATGGCAGGAGAAAGAACAAGAAGTAACAGCAGGGCTGTGAAAGAGATATAAGGAAGTCAGAAGAGAAAGCTGAAAAGTGATGACAGCTGCATCATTTAAAAAAAAACACATACAATTGCTGTAAGTTGATAGACTTGAAAGCATGTTTTCTTTTGCAGGATGCACGCTCTCTGCTGGAAGACACGTTTAAAGTAAACCCAGTGCCTAAGGAATCATATATCAACATAGAAATTTCATGTAATCATGTTTAAGAAAATAGCGAATCCTATCTCTCCCTTTCCCTCTTATTTTCCCCCAGTTCCTTAGTCCCAGGAATTATAGCAAAGGTTGCTGTATGTTTGCTATACCTACAGATATTTCTAGCAAATATTTGCTTGTATAACACTAGCATCTATTTTATACATAGGCAGTAGATTTTTAAGAGTCTTAAAATATACAGCTTTCTTTTCAAATATGATTATTTGCTTAGTACTAGTAGTGACTGAGTAGTAATAATAATACTCTTTTTATTTATAGTATACTTATTAAAAATGCAGTATAGTATGACTATCCCCCGCCCCGCCCCAGCTCCCACAAAGCTAGACCAGTACAGACTTTAACATGATTTTACAAAACAGTAAAAACTGAGCTGTAAGGTCTTTTATACTTAAGGCAACTGTGCTTGTGTTCATGGCAATAATAACTATTATATAGATAAACAATACAGTGGTTTTTGTATTGTATCAGACATGGTGATAACTGCAACAAAACACACATGGGATACATACTTTATTCAAGCTGTCTTCAATTCTGAAAAAAGTTATCTTTAATTTATAACAGTGGTGGGATTCAAAAATTTTTACTACCGGTTCTGTGGGCGTGGCTGGATGGGTGTGGCAGTGGAAGGATACTGTAAAATCTCCAGCCACAGGTGGTATTTGCTGGTTCTCCAAAGTACTCAAAACTTCTGCAACCGGTTCTCCAGAACTAGTCGGAACCTGCTGAATATCACCTCTGATTTATAACCCTAATATAGAAATATTTGACTTTTTTCCCCCTTTACGTTTCTTTTTAGGACATTTTTTAAAGCCTTTTCCCTCATCGGAGAAACTCAGGAAAGAGAGAGAGTTCTAGTTCATTTCTCCAGCAGATACCACCAATGCAACCCCAGTGCTATTTCCACACAAGGTAATCATCCTTTCACAGTTTTAAGATATGTGTATCTTATTGTCACTTTTACTCAAGCAGACTTTGCAATGTTTATTTTAATATTATAATCATACTAGACCCGTGATGGCAAACCTATGCCAAACTTACCTGCACTGTGCATGTGCGTGCTTCCCAGCTGATTTTCAGCCTCCAGAGGCTCGAGGGAATACCGGAAGAGACGAAACGGCCCCATTTTTCGGCCTCCAAAGGCTGCAGAGGCTTCCCTTGAGCCTCTGGGAGGCTGAAAAAGGCTTCAAACAGGCTGAAAATCAGCTGGAAGGCATGCACAGTTCAGGTAAGGGGATGATGTGGGGGCGATCGTCCGCACATGCACAGGGTCATGGGGGCCCTGTATGCATTGCCTTCTGGGTGGTGGCACATGAGTGAGTGAGCATAAGTGCGAGTGCAATTTTCGGCACAGGAGCCCAAAAAAGGTTAGCCACCACTGCACTAGACCACCCCGGAAACCCAAGACAAACCATTCCCAACCCAGTATGTCAATAAACCCAAACTAGCTGAGTGAAAATGCAGCCCAGTCAGTTATAAAATCTTTATGGCCATCATTCGTTTTTGGAATTGAGTATTCACTGAGTTTGCTGCTGAACCACTAGAATCCTTTTCAGATATTTGCACAAAGAACGTCTTTCACTGAGGCTTTCTATCATTTATTGCCCAATGAAGGACTCAAGCATGATACATGGGAATCACTATTATGATCTGCTTGTAAGGCTTTCCTCCTTGTATAGCTTGAATTGTACAAAGGCTTATTGAGATAAGAGGGAAAACAGAGGCAATCCCAAAGGTGCTTTTTCAAAAGACAACTAGATTTTCTTTGTTTTTCCTTGAAGACGTTTCGCTTCTCATATAAGAAGCTTCTGCAGTTCTGAGTTCTGACTGAAGAAGTTTCTTGGATGGGAAGCAAAATGTCTTCAAGGAAAAACAAACAAATCCAGTTACCTTTTGAAAAAGCACTTTGGGGATAACCACGACCTGGAGGACTGAGAATCTTGATGGACAAAAGCAGAGACCATGAAAGACTGCAATCAAATACACATTTATAAAGCCCACTCAAGCTTGTAGCTTCATGGACACAACACACTTTGTGGCAGCAATAAAAGAGAACAGGGAAGATGTTCTGAGACGAGTTCCCGACAGAAATGTCTAATACGGAGACCGCATCAAAGGGTCCGATACGACAAAAGCGGTATTATACTATCCGGTGCAAACTCTGCACATTTTCTGCACGCATCATGACACTGTGCCACAATGGCAAGATGCTGCTTTTGTCATTTTAATGAAAGCTTTGGAGGTAAATTCAACTTCAGCTGGAGTTTAATTGGTCTCACAGGAAATGGTTTCAATTAGATGGAGCCTGGCTGAACCTTCTGGTTTAACTGGATTGCAGGTCCAATTGCCGAAAGGAAAACAGAATCGAGATCAGGTTCTGCAGCTGAGCTACCACAAGACATAAACACCTCTGTGGTGGATCTTCAAAACGTGGCTTATGGTGATTCTCCAGTGACAAACAAAATCAGGCTGGTCTCCTCTCCCTGCCAGTGATTTAATTTCATGAGATATCTCTTTCTTGATTAACGTCATGTATTTCTTTATAAGGAAACTGCTTTGGAGAGTGTTAATTAGGCTGCAGGGGGTTCCAACTTAATTGGCATCTTTCTTTTATAAACAGACGGGAAAAGTGGGAAGTGTGATTTTCTTTTATTCCTGTGTAGCTTTCTATATGTCATGCTTTGGGTGTTTTTAATCCTACAGATGGAGTCCATTGCCTCACATGTGCAATGATGCTGCTTAACACTGACCTTCATGGCCATGTGAGTATTGTGCAAACTTAACACCACTCCTCAAAAACTACAGGATGGTCTTCTGATGCATATCTGGGGTTTCTGTGTTCAGTGGGCCCCAGACATTGCAGGCTTAGTTTCTAACAGCTTCAAAGAGTTGTGAAGTCATCTATGCAGAGGCGGAAAGTAGCTGTGGGGTTTGTAAAAAAAAAAAAAAAAAGGCAAGCATTTGTAGTTCAGAATGCGCAGAACAAGAGAGAAAGTTACAAGGCCAAATAGCCCGTAAAAAGTGCACTTAGCAAAGATGGAACAAAACCATTTGGCAAAGGCATGGAAACATCTGAATGGCCCTCCACAGAATGGATTGCAGAAACACCAGAAAGCTGCACAGCAAAAGCTTTGGGATTGTCTCTCCTTGATTCCCTGATGTCCTTAATTTAATTTGTGCTGGTCAGTGACTTGCAGCCTGTTCATACCTGTGAGTGACTTCTGGCAGGTCCTGGAAGGGGTGGAAGTAGTGTATTCATCCTGGCCCTACTTGATTTCCCGGTGGCTCTTGATATTGCTAATCAGGTAACCTGAGCTGGCGAGGGATTGAGATGTGGTACCATCCTACCTCCAAGGCTGGTTTCAGCTGGTTTGGTAAGAGGGGAGACATGAGGTGTCAGGGGACTTGACATGGACTCTCTCCGTGCTCCTTTTTAACATCTAAATGAAACCACTGAGTGAGGACATGTGTCAGCATGGAGCTAAATACTATAAGTATGATTGTAATAAATGTACCTCTCTACCCTGGGCTGCTCAAACTGTCAAGGCGCTTTCCCAGTACCTAAACACTATGTGGGTCTGGATGAGGAAAAATCCATATCACTTCAGCCCCACCAAGACTGCGATGGCTGTTGGTTTTAACATCCTCAGTATCTGGTGATTTGATCTTTTACCTCTGGTTTGGATGACACCCATTCAGAATTGACACATAGTCTGGGGATTTCCTTGGACACTTGATCCTGCTCAAAGGGCAAGCGGTAGCCATGGCCATGAAGGCCTTTGCACAAATGCATCTGTTGCACCAGTTGTGCCCTTTCCTACATCAGGAGGCACTGCTCATGGTTACTTACGACTTAGTCACCTTATGGTTGAGTTGTTGCAATCCACTCTATAGGAGACCACCCTTAACAAGCATTCAGAAGCAGCAACTGGTTCATAATGCAGCAACATAGTGGTGGGTGCACCTTAATATGCCCCTGTAATATTAGTGCAGAGTGAGCTGCACTGGCTCTCAATAGTCTTCTGGGTGCAGTACAGTTCACCCCACAGTGGTGTTAAAACCATATATTAAATGAGGTCAGGTTACCTGTAGCACTATCTATCCCCAATGGTTTCTACTTGTCCTATTAAATCTGGCAGGATGGACATGCTGTGTGTCTCCTTGCTGAAGCAGTATAACTGGTGGGACTTCAAAAATCACACCTTTTCGATCATGATGACTGGCCTTCAGGAAAATGAATATGAGGGGTCCTTAGTGCTTTCTGAGCTTGGTTGTTTTCTTGCAGATGTTTCATTACTCAAACTAGGTGACATCGTAAGAATTGGTAGGGAGCAGGGTTTGCTTTTATATTCTAAAATTGGTAAAGAATTGGCGTTTATCCCAAACCCTAGAGCCAAGATATTGACAGAGCTGACACAGAATGGTTGGTGGAGGGATGTATTTTTTATGAAGACGTCAACATAGTTTATTTTGTTCTATGGCAGGGTTGTCCAACCTTGGCAACTTTAAGACTTGTGAACTTCAACTTTCAGAATTCTGAAAGTTGAAATCCACAAGATTTAAAGTTGCCAAGGTTGGACACCCCTGTTCTATGGTACCGTGTTTATAATTTGTACACTATATACTTACGTTTTGTAGTTCCTTTTGTTAGATGGACAGCTACATAAATTTGTTTCATAGATGAATATGCTTCATTCCTGTTAAGCCAGTCTTTCTTCAGACTCCAAATGCAGGACTGTCACAGACATCAAGAGACACTATATATAGATGGCAATTTTTCAGAGATTTGACGGCAATATTGTCAAGCTGTTTGTGTCCAAGAAACAAATGGTCATGTTTTTCCCCTGGCTTGCTGAATGTTCTATTAAAATAAGTTGTACATAGTACTTTTAGCTTATACCCTGGAAAACTTGTGAGGAATTTATAGAAACAAGATTTGCGTTGCTACACCAGATGTTTCAAAGTCCTATTATGATTTTTCTTGATATCTCTCAGATGCTTATCCCTCACCAACTTTTAACAGTTTTTGAGGATCACTTTCAAAAGCATCTGTTGTCTGTTATCTTAAAACAGCGCTTTAAGAAAACTGCAGTTCTTTACCATTAAAATCAGAAGGATTCAGAAAACTCAGAGTAAACCCAAATGAAGAAATATCCCCTCCATACATTTTTTTCAACAAACTGGAGGTTCATTTTTTGGGGATGAATAAGGTCACATTTATAGTTTGATTTATGTATGTCTTCCAATTTTGAAGGCCTTTTAAAACTGAATTTTGTACTAAACAGTTTAATTGAAGACTGCTTATTGATCTACCCCTTGAATTATTTCATATGACCAATGTCATAAAAACGGGCGCTCTTAGCACAACTGGCTTGTCAATCCTATGCTTCAGTAGTAATTGCTGAATACCAGGGCCTTTCAAGCACTTTACGATATTGATTGTTGAATTTCCTATTCACACTTTTCAGGTTGCTTGTGCAAGATCTCAATTTTGCAGAGCACAATATTATGGATTCACAGTTGGCAACTGCACTCAAGAGCTGTTAACTGTTATCAGTTTTCTGTGTTCCGTAGCTAATTTCAGTATTCCTGTAGCTACTTGTATTATGATGCCTTGCATGCTTTGGTGAACCAGTTTCCCTATTTTTACAAACCAGTTGAGTGATGCTAAATGGGAGAGAGCTGAGATGTACCAGCTACAGTCCAGTATGGTTCACAGTTTTCATAACCACTCTCTTGAAACTACAGGTTCTTCTTAGGTAGTCTTTAAAAAGAAAATCCCTTTTCCCTTTTGGTGGTATCCCACTTGGACAGGGCTTAAAATTTACTACGAGGAAATGGACGTGGGTTTTTTTCTCCTCCCATTGCAATGTTCCCTCTGCATGGTTAGCACTCTATTAGTTCTGGATCAGTGCTGCCATCACTTTACACGCTAATGAGCAGTCTTCTTTTTCCACTAGGAAAAAAGAAGCTTGGTGCATAGATTGATTTGTGAGTAGAAATTTTACCAAGTTGCATTTTTGGTTAGTGTTAGACTTATGACTGAAATTGGGACCGGAATACCCATTGTAAGTTGTTGTGGTTGTAAGTCAAGCCACATCCGATTTTATGACCATTTTTAGGATGGTTGTTAAGCAGATGACTGCGGTTGTTAAAGCAAATCTGCAGTCGTTGGGTTGATGGTGCGGCAGTAAACGGAGAAAAAGAATCACGAATTGTGATCATAGGACTACAGGATACTGTAGTATCGAAATATTTTTAGTAGGACTACCAGATTCTGTACCAGCTTTGTTCTCTATGCTATCCGTCTGATAAACTCGCAAGATTCATTTTTCTTGCCACGGACATGTATACATCTGGACTACACTATGTTGTTTCTCTGTGTCATATAATATATGTGGGTATATGCATAATTTTGTATTTATTAATTTTGTCATGTTTATGTAGTGTACGTTGGAGGTGGTGACCTTTTGAGACCTGTATGCAACAAAATTTCATTTTTAATGTATGCCGATGAGTGTACATTCAAAGTGACAATAAAAGTTATTCTATTACTATTTTATTCCTAACCCTTTGTAAATGCATGCTGGTTACCAAGCGCCCAAATTGCGATCATATGACCATGGGGGTGTTGCAAAGATCACAAGTGCGAGGTTCAGACTTCTTTCAACACTGTTGTACCTTGGAACATTCACTAAATGAATAGTCATAATTTGAGGACCACCTGTTATAAATAACCCATGGAAGAAAGGTATGCATAATATTCTCCTAAACTCTGTTGCTGTCTCTGCACAAGTGCCTATTCCAGGGCTCATCCACATAGCAATGGTAATATACTTTGCTTCTGTCTTTGATATGGAGAAATGTGTAATAATGTAAAAAAAAAAAATGGCGCACCTAGTTTCTATGAGACTGGTATGCCGGTGCTTTGATGGCCAGAACCTGGGGATTGTGTGTCCATTTTTTTCAGCACCACTGTAACTTTGAACGGTTATTGAAAAATTGGATATAAGCTGAGTGCTACCTATGAACAGTTTTTACTTTTTAAAAAGAATCTGAAGTAGACTTCCATATTAATGGAATCAGAGTTTAAATCATATACTACAGTGCATACAATGTCCTTCAGCATGTATGGAGGAAGACCTCATGCTGGCAAGAGAAAATGCTGCCAACATGTCCTGATACTAGGCAAAAGTCATTTAGTTTTAATCCTATTTATTCTACATATTTTTACATGTGCTATATTTCAATGTCCTATTTTATATCTATTTTATTTGCGCAGTGTTGAGTTATATACGATTATAATTTGTAGGCGCTTCTGACATGAATAACGAAGAGATTTGAATGATGGGAGTACATATCGAGACAAATTTCTTGGTTTCTGCTTTAATCAGAATTTGGAATTGGCTTGCTGAAAGAGAAAAATAGCTAGGTTTATTTGTACAGAGGGAAGAATGACTGTTAATTCTTAGAAAAGGAGTGATTCATTCTCTCCTCTGTATCTCTTAACTGCTACTAAAATTAATCTCCACTGTTTTTAAAGACAGGAATGGGAAAAATAAAAATGATCCTTTTGGAGTATTTTCCCCCCATTCTTTTTAAAAAAGAGAAATTGGGTTTGGCTGGAGAGATGTTTTTAAGCCCAGAACTTTCTATGCAGTTTATCAACTTCAGGCTGTTGCTTTGGCAAAATGATTTCCATTTTAATCTGTGACAACACCTTCATATTCTGGGAATGTAAACCAATTACTTAAAGCACGTTGAGACTCTTGATTGAAAAGTCTGCGTGATTGTCATTATCCTTGGAGAGATTACTTATTGTTTTCTTCTCTCCTCTATATGATTGACTTATTATGTACTATCCAAACTCTTAGTAACTACAGGCAGTCCTCGACTAGGTTGCTTACAAACAAGAGACATAACCAGGGGTACTTAGGATTCAGTTCTGAAGTTCCAATGGCTGCGCATTGTTATGTAACTACATATCGGGCATTCAGCAACTGGCCCACATCCTGGACATAAACTGTTTCAACTCCTATCCTCAAAACGATGCTGTAGAACACTGAACACCAGAACAACTAGACACAAAACAGTTTCCACCCGAATGCCATCACTCTGCTAAACAAATAATTCCCTCAGCACAGTCGAACTATTTACTAAGTCTGCATTACTATTACTGTTAACCTTCTCATCATTCCTATCACCCATCTCTTCCCACTTGTGACTGTATGACTGAAACTTTGTTGCTTGTATCCTTACGATTTATATTAACTGTTTCTTAGTATGATTTGATTGCTTATTTGTACTCTATGACTATCATTAAGTGGTGAATCTTATGATTCTTGACGAATGTACCTTTTCTTTTTATGTACACTGAGAGCATATGCATCAAGACAAATTCCTTGTGTGTCTAATCACGCTTGGCCAATAAAGAATTCATTCATTCATTCATTCATTCATTCATTCACATTCATATCTGCTTACACCCATCCCATGTTCAAACGACTGCGTTTATGATATTTTTGCCCAAACCTGACATTCACGCCTGGTTTTTAGCAAAACTGACCCATAGTGAATAATTGGTTCACTTAATGACTCCTGCAAAAAAAATGTCATAAAATCAAGTTGGTCAAATAAAATCAAGTTGGTCACCTGCTTTATATCTGTCACAACATGATTGTTACGGGTAAATTCCCTTACAGATGTAAGTTGATAACTTTACCTGTACAGAGAGCATTTGCACCAAGACAAATTCCTTGTGTGTCCAATCACACTTGGGCAATAAAAGAATTCTACGTAGATAGATTTACTTTCTGAGGATCTGTCCTTCACCTGGTCTTTGATCACTACTTTTCAAGTATTGATTTGTATTTTTTAGATGATTTGTCCGGATTTATAAAAGAATGCTTCTAACCTTGTGTTTGTTGCTGTTCCCAGTTGGGTTTTTAATTTAGGAATAAAGAAATTATTTAGAATGACTTAATATAAGGCCTTTAAAAACTACAGTCATATTCTTTTCCATTGATTTGCATTCATATCTCTACGTCCTGTATATTTCAGAACATTGGCAAAAAAATGTCCTGTCAAGAATTCATTGCCAATCTTCAAGGAATGAATGAGGGTGCAGATTTCCCAAGAGAACTCCTGAAGGTGAGGCTCTCTTTTATTTCTTATTACTGGAATACAGTGTCACCTCTACCTCTGCTGGCTAACTGAAAGAGATTGCTGTCAAACTGACTAAATTGCCTGTCATTTTCAGTTTTGTGTTTTTTTTATGACGATGTGGAGACCAGAGTTTCAAAGAGCTATTTAACTCACTATTGTTCTAGAGTAAGGGAACGTATAAAGGATTTTCTCTTAAAGCAAATATTCTCAAATTCTGTGCTAAAGAAAGAAGAGTTAAAGTTAGATTCATTTATGCCTTCTTGGTAGTGGTCAACCAGGAAAGGACCATAACCTTGTAAGAAGTTTTCCTGTGAATGCACTAACATTCATAGATGAGGTCAGTACTGGGAGATCCCAGTGCCCAGTATTATCCTTGAATCCTGACTTATTGAAAGAAAAGAAGAGCTTGTGCAACAATTGTTGAAGTGCAGCTTTTAAAATATAAAATGGAAGTGTTAAGTGCATAGATTCTGAATATTCACCTCAAGTATAATTGTTGACAAATACTGCTCTAGTATCACACCATACAGATACATTTGGGAATGGATCGTAGCTCTTTTTTCTTCCTTGGCATTGTTAACCAGGAATGGAAACACGTGCAGCATGGTCAATGGAGATTCTCAATCATCCAGGTCATGGTTGTGCTTTTTTTCCCCCAAGAGGCAAATGAACTTTCTGTTTTTTCATTGAAGACGTTTCGCTTCTCATCCCAGAAGCTTCTTCAGCTCTGAAGAAGTTGCTTGGAAGAGAAGTGAAAGAAGCTCCTGGGATGAGAAGCGAAATGTCTTCAAAGAAAAAACAGAAAGTTCAGTTGCCTCTTGGGGGGAAAAAAAGCACCTTTGGCACATGTGCAAGATGGGTTGAAGTGAAACATGCTTTTCAATGCATCTTGTCGTGTTAAGTCAATTGGAGAAAAAGAATCGGGCTCCTTAAGTTTTGATCAGCACTTCAGGTCCTCTGTGCAACACTGGAACCTGAAGAATGTTAAGAATTATGCACTTGGTTCAACAATCGACAGGGATTGCATAGGCAGTTTGCTTTTCCATATGAATTGCCTTGGCTGGATTGGAACAATTGTGAGCCTTGAGTGATAATTGAAGGCTAAAAACTGGCGAGGTTTTTTTTTTTAAATCAAACTTCTGATAAAGCTGACTTCTCTGATGAATATTTATGGAAATAGGCTATAAGAGTGCTTCAGGAGAAAGGTGCCTTTAGGTTTTTATATTTGAATGGAAGATACAATTTAAGACAAAAAAATGTTATATGCACAAGTGCAGCTTTTGCCCTCTTGCCTATATATCCATTTGTTCCAGTACCTGATTCTGAATAACCGGTAAAGTTTGGGTCTCGGGGACTGAACATTTTTCATTACTGGTGCTAATATGAGCATTCCTTTTTCTTTTGTCCAGTTTGCTTGCTTAGGAAGCAAAGTGCTAATTGTTAGTGTGTTTGGTTTGCCATAAAAGAAAAAAAATTTAAATGAGATTTTGCTGCACAGAAAGCTATGGCCTAAAATTCTGTTAACATCAGCAACAGCAGATATGTGCTGATTTTTTTTCTATCTTTTTTAATGTGCCATCTCAACAAAATAACTTACGTAGTTAGAATCAGAGGGTACATTATATGCCTTCCATGCTTGTTAGAAAATGGACTTCATTAAAATAAAACCTTATTGTTTCTAAGATTATTCTAGCTACAGCCTAGAGAGCAGGCTGGGAGAATAAAATGCTTGGAATTTCTCTGGAAGTTGGCTTGAACCTTTATGGATGATGGATGGGAAATGAATTATATATAACTAATCGCAAAAATCTGTTTCTGTAATGAAATGGTGTTTAAGTTCTCTTCCTTGGACGAAAAAGTTTTGCTTTATTTGCCTACTGGAAAGTCTCTGTGTCATAAGCCCTTTTATGTGATTCTGAGCGTATTCCAGGAGGTATATTTTGGTTGCACAAGGTGTTGGATATTCCAAGAGTGACTCCATGCGAATTAAGCAGTACTCATTTCCCCTTCTTATGGGGCAGGGATAAATTTGATTTGTTGTCGCAGATTACCTGCCTTTGTTGGAAACTTGGCTGAACTTCTAAAAAAACCTCTGAAATCATGGTTTGAAAAACCTGCTTTATTAGACTAAGGATCTTTATCTTAGGCACTGTGGAAGTTCTGTTGTGCTTACCCTTATGAGCAAATCAAACTGCTTATACAAATGCATCACCATAAATATATACTACAGTATTGTCGTCACCATGGTCTGTTTACCAACAGTAACACCAAAAGGCTAACTTCTCATCTCAGAGCTATAAATGTAAGTTAGCCTTTTGGTGTTACTGTTGGTAAACAGACCATGGTGATGACGAGGCTGTAACTATGATGCATTTGGGCACCAAAGGCTCAGTTTAAAATTCAATTTCTTGGCTTGGTCTCCTACTTCCTACCCTGGATTCTTTTTTTTTTTTTTGCTTAATATTTGGCCTACCCCAGTGAGATGGGAAGTCTTGAAAAGTGTTGAAGGATACTGGCTGTGGTTGATCTATGACCAAACTAACTTTGCTTACCACTGAAAAATCAGCTAATTTATAGCAATATCTCAGACAGGTGCAGTGAAATGGCCTCAAAATTGCTAATTCCTGAATTGCATTGGCTGAATCAATCTCCAGGTGTAAATATCTCACTAATGTTATAAAATTGAGATGCTCCGCATGTATGCTGTGAGGTAAAGAAATAATGTTCTGTCAGATTTCTGATATTAGAAAAAAATTGCTTTGCATGATCTCCGAGTCTCTTCTGAAAAGAAAAGAGAAGGGTCTATGCCTGTGACATTGTAAAGCTTATTTTCTCTAGTGAGAAAAAACTGCATTGTCTGTCCTTACGTTAATCTGGGTAAAATGGAGGCTTCTTTGGATGAGATTCATTGTGTTATCTAAACCTGGGGAAGAAACTGAGGGCTTTTTTGTGTGTGAACCTTGTGGTTCTTGATGGTATAATGGGGAAGGTTTTATTTGATTGCTTCCCAAACTGGTTTCATAGGCTCTAGGAAGCTCTAGCATTGATGGTATACAAACTTCAGCAGTGATGCACATTCTCCATTCTCCAAAGCACCTGAAAGCCGGACAAGAAGCAATGGATGGAAAGTAATCAAGGAGAGAAGCAACTTCGAACTAAGAAGAAATTTCCTGACAGTTAGAACAATAAGTGAAACTCAGTTGCCTCCAGAAATCGAGGGTGCTCCAATATTGGAGGTTTTTAAGAAGATAAAATGGATAACCATTTGTCTGAAGTGGTGTAGGGTTTCCTGCCTAAGCAAGAGTTGGACTAGAAGACCTCTAAGGTCCCTTCCAACTCTGTTCTGTTCTATTCCATTCCATTCCATTCTTTTTCATACATGGCCTGAGGTTTCTCACATTATACTTGTCGCAAAAAATCTTTGTTCCGCCCTCATTTATCCCTGTTGGCCACCATAGAATGGCCGATGTTCAGAATCAGATGAGTAAAGATTCAGGAAGAGAGATTGCTTAGTGATCATACAGAGCATCGCTAATCTCTAGAACTCATGGTTACAGGACTTGGTGATGGATATAAATTTTGACAGCTTGAAAAGGGAGTTAGATAGATTTCATTGAAGAGAAGATGTCTCTGCTAGTTCTGCAAGCTATCTGCTCCCTCTAGGATCACACAGAGTATGTGGTTTAAGTATTAGCAGGTGGAAGACAATGGTGGGAAAAGACTGTTGTCCTCATAACCTACTTGTAGGCTCCCAAGGAGTTGGCCATGTAGGAAACAGAATGTGGGTCTGATACATTTTAAGTGTACATTGTATACCTAATCCAGCTGCGATGCTTTTAAATTCTCTTGAGGCATGCGTGCAAATGGTTTGCGAACAGATGTGTATTACCTCTTCTGAGAGGCATTTTTCACAAAGCTTAATAAAGCAAGTGCATCAATCACGATTTCCTTAAAAAAAAAAAAGATGCGAAAGGGGCTCCAAAACTTGTGCTAGCCTTTCAATTCCTGCTTTTCCCATCGATGCAGTGATTCATATTGGACTCACTTTATCATCGGACCACCAGATGGCATCGCTGCTGTGATAATGGCAGACCTTTTACTTGGACTGTGTTCCTTCCTCTGAGACCAGAAGAATCTGTGAATCATAGTTTGTTCAGGTTTTCTCTTTGGGAGCTTTTTTTTCGCCTAGCTAGGTTATATCGAAATGAAAATATCTCTGGTTCATCCCCAAATTAATAACTCAAGGTTGTCCTAATCATATTGAGAAGCTATCAACACTATAGTTATTGAGGGAAAAATGGAGGAGCCTCTTCTAGAAGTTAATTAAAAATAGTGACCTTTAATATATCAAAGCAGCTCAATAGGTTATGATGAAATAAACATCAAACCCATATAGCTGAGTACTTTTAACACAACACCCCCCACCCCCCACCCCAATACAGTAAGGAGAAGTAAAGTTGTTGCAACTGTTTATTTTCTAGCTGGGTTGGTTTTTTACCCTCACTTTGATATTTTTTGTTCCTGAATGGCAGATGTGTATTTATGTGCTTCTCAGTAGATTTTGGTTCTCTTCTAGATGGGTGGGATCCTTCTGCTTTTGGACCCAACCTAAAGCACTACTAAAGTTAGTAGGCTCTAATGGTTCTGTAGCAGAGGTGGTATTCAGCCAGTTCTGACAGGTTTTGGAGAACGGGTAGTAAAAATTTTGAGTAGTTCGGAGAACTGGCAAATACTACGTCTGACTGGCCCCGCCCCCATCTATTCTCTGCCTCCTGAGTCCCAGCTGATTGGCTGGGTCTTCTTTTGTTGCCCTGAACAGGAGAACGGAGCTGGAAAGCAGGTTAGTGGAGTGGGGAGGGAATAGGGATTTTGCAGGAACTTTCCCCCAGGAGTGGGTAGGGAATGGGGATTTTACAGTATCCTTCCCCTGCCATACCACCAAGCCACACCCACCAAGCAACACCATGGCCACCAAGCCACGCTCA